ATCAGTAATTTTTTAAATGGCTTAAATTATTAGGCTATCAAAAATGTTCATCATAGGATACTATTAAAATGAAAAGACTAATCTTAACAACAAAAAATGTAAGGATTTACATCCAGAATATGTAAATACAAGTTAATAATAAAAGGGCAATTAAAAAGGTAAACTGAGTATGTGTACATCACCAAAGATAAACTAAAACACATGCTCAATGTCATTAGTCAACATGGAAAATTTTTCATTAAGATACTATATACTCTTGTTTAATGGCTGGATTCTTGACACAACAAATTGTTGGTAAACAAGCGGCCATCTAGCTCAGAAGCAGCAAAGCCCACATGGAGGAAGCACACCAGCCTGTGTGATCACAAGGTGTCAAAGGGATCAGGTATCAGGCATCAAGGAGCAAAAAATTATTGTGAATGAGGGGGAATGCGGAGTGGGGACCCAAAGCCCATCTGTAGGCAATTGGACATCCCCTTACAGAAGGATCGCGGGGAGGAGACGAGCCAGTCAGGGTGCAGTGTAGTCATGATGAAACATAACAACTTCCCTCTAGTTCCTAAACGCTTCCTCCTCTATCCCCCCCCACCATGATCCCAATTTTACCATGCAAATCTGGCTAGACCAGAGGATGTACACTGGTAACAGAGAGGAATTGGAAGTAGGGAATCCAGGATGGATGATCCCTTCAGGATCAGTGCTGAGAGTGGCGATAACGGGAGGGTGGAGGGATGGTGGGGTGGAAAGGAACCAATTACAAGGACCTACAGATAACCTCCTCCCTGGGGGATGGACAACAGTAAAGTATGTGAAGGGAGACATCTGACAGTGTAATATATGACAATAAGTTTTAAATTATCAAGGGTTCATGAGGGTTTGGGGAGCAAGAAGGGAGGAGCAAAAATGAGCTGATCCCAAGGGATCAAGCACAAAACAAATGTTTTCAGAATGATGATGGCAACAAATGTACAGATGTGCTTGACACCATGCATGTATGTATGGATTATGATTAGAGTTGTACGAGCCACCAAAAAAATGATTATTTTTTAATGTTGGCATAAATGAGAAATAGTGAACTTTGCAAACATTGGTGGGAATGTAAAATCACAAATCCATTTTGAGAAAAATTGTGGCAATTTCTTGTGAAGTTAAAAATGTGCGTGACCTTGGCACCAGAATTCTATTTTCTCCAAGAGAAATTAAGACATCCTATGCTAAAACTTCTAAGAAGAAAAATAACCTTAGTTTTATTAACAATAATAAATAGAATCAACCTTTAGGGATTCAACTACCTAGGACAATAATATGCAATCCAAAATCCATCAACAGACAAGTTGCACTATATTTATGCAATGAAGGCTACTTAGCAATAAA